TGCTCTTTCCACATCCTTCCGAGTAGATTCTTGGCGCTTTGCGAATAGTTTCTCTTTCATAGAAGATGGTTGTGAAATTGTTTGGATCAATGTAGCATATTGAGGATAAATTCCATCAGATAAGTAGTACCCCATATTATAGTGATGACCTTGCACTAAAAAATTGCACGATGGCGCAACATTGTTAACTATGTCATCAAATAGAGGAGATCTATCAAGAACGGTCACATCATTGTTGGTACCTGCCATACCAAAAAATGCATGCCAAATCCATAAGCTTTTTGAAGCTACAACCTCAAGGATAAGGGTTGGAACTTTTTTGAAACCGCTAGTATATGCCCCATGCCAAGCAGTTGGACAATTCTTCCAATGCCAATGCATACAATCTAGGCTGCCAAGCATTCCTGGAAACCCTCGACTTGCACCTTCTTCTAATAACAATGAAATATCATGCTTATTTGGTTTTCTTAAGTACTTTTCTTCAAACAATCCTATTATAGCATCACAAAACCTCTTTAGGCATTCAATTGCAGTGCTTTCACCAATTTGAACATATTCGTCAAGGGAATCAGCTGAACAACCATACGCAAGCATGCGTATTGCTGCTACTACTTTTTGCAAAGGACTCAACCCTATATGTCCAACAGCATCAACTTTTTGTGTAAAGTAATCATCATAATTATTTACGGCTTGCAAAATCCGTTCAAATAATTCAATATCCATGCGAAATCGACGCCGAAATTTGTCTGGGGTGTACTTTGACTTGTCACCCTTGAAGTAGTCATTTACAATTAATTCATGACGATCTCTCCTATCACGACGAATATAGGCCCTGCCAACCGTTGATCCTCCATGGGGACGTTTCCTACCCGTTAAGAATGAGGAAATCATAAATGGAACATGTATGGTACCAATTTCAACCACGTTTGACTCTACATCTTCATCAAAATTGTCATCTCCAAACAATCCCTTAGTAAGTGAAAGAGACTCGGTGCTCGATGATCCACTCATTGAGTGTGAATTAGAGTCTTCCGACGCCATTCTTTCTGCATCAATACGATAAGAGTTTTTATAAGAAATTGATCACAAATATTAAACCATAATATAACAGGAGGAGTATTACATGAACAAAATATTTTCACCTATTGTTTGATACAATTAAAGGAGCATAAAATATGAATTAAAAATTATGATTACCTTTAACAACAATTGACGGAGCTTCTTTTGACAGTATTTTTTGTTCTAGACGAGAAAAAATAACCTCGAGGTGTAATTGGAGAGATTGGGTGGTGAAAATTGAAAATTGGAGGTTGTGGATTCTATGTGTGTTTGACGAAATTGAAAAACTTGTGAAGGATGCATAGATAAATGAATAAGGTTTCAGTTCTGTTCTATGGCTGCGTAGAGATCCTATGGAGGTTGCCAGGGATTTTGTTTTCAATTTTTTTAGCTTATTTATTAGTATTAAATAAAATAAAATCCACATGGACTTATTTTAAGCTTTTGAAAGGGGTGCATTGGAGATGTGCATTTCAAACTAAAGTCTTCTCTTTTGACATTTAAGCCAAACCAAAAATTTCGAGTGATAAGATTCCTCATATGGCTTGAGTCCAACATTTAAGGAATTAGTATACTTGGAACATGGTCGTAACAATAGATATGAAATACATTTATTCGTAACACATGATTTGATACCACGTGTAAGCATAATCATAGATCTTGAATAAATAATTTGATGTACACGAAATACTTACTTGATGCAGACGACGACATAATTTGTGATCTTGATATATATAGGTGTTTAATTACTTTCTTTAAGTCTATTTAGAATTATAATATGACTAGGTTTGGTAAAGCTAGTTGATAAGCTAGCTGATAGCGGATAAGCTAGCTTATAGTTTATTAGTAATTCTCGAGCTCATATGATAAAAGTGTTTGGTAAAATTAGCTGGTAAACTAGCTGAAATAAAAATTTCAACGAGCTTATTTGAAAAAGCTACCAAAAAAAACTTATCAAGTAAGCTTATTTGAAAAGCTACCAAAAGAAGCTTATCAAATAAACTCGTGCTTTTTAAACAAACTCGTCCTACCAAATGAAGCTTATTTAAATACAGGGAGCTTATAAGCTAATCAAAAAAGCTATAAGAGCATCTACAATGCTTTGGGTTCAATCACAAATAATTGTATGACACATAAGAAGTCGGCCTAGTCTACAAAAATGTATTCTCCAGTGCAAACAAAAGTAGACTATGTCCTGCTGATGTGGCTGCCAGAAAAAGAGACCCGGTCTATCCTTAAGTCTATTTTAGACCCAAGTAGAGACTTAGTCTCTTTGCATTGGAGTAAGTTTTATTAATTTTACATCTTTTATCCATGTCATCCAAAACTTGAGTTTATTTACATGCCACATAGGCAAGACTAGACCCAATGCATTGTAGATGCTCTAAGCTAGCTTATTGGTCTACCAAGCATAGCCTACATATAGTGTCAAGTATTTATATTTATTAAATACATTTTACACATAGGTACATTGTTTTCTATTTAATAATATATAAGTTACATTTTGTTT